GAGAAATCGATAATTTAAAAAATTGAAGAATAGAAAATTTCAAACATCCAAAAATTGAAAATCGAGAAATTAAAAATTAAATAACGAAAAACTGAAGGAAAAAAAAGTGAAGGAATAAAAACACTGAAAACATTTTGCAACTGAAGTGTTAAAACATCCAACATTTTAAAAATTGAAAACTTGCGAAATTCAGAAATTGAAAACTTTCCCAAATTGAGTTGTTGAAAAAATGCTAAATAGAAAAGTTGGACAATCAAAAAATCCAAAAATTGAAATAAAAACTAAAAAATAGGGAAATCGAAACATCAAAAAATCGTATAATCGAAAAATTGAAAAAACAAAAAATTGAGGTCAAAAAAAATCGAGAGATCGAGAAATCGCAAATTCCAAAATATATAAAATGCAAAAATTGAATCGAAAAACTGAAAAATCGAGAAATTGAAAACTCTCAAAACTAAATTGTCGAATAACCAAAAACTCGACACATCGGAAATTTTCAAAATTGAAACATCGGAACATCGGTAAATCGAGAAACTTTAATTATCGAAAAATTGAAAAATCGAAGTTCGGAAAGTCGAAAAATTGAAATCTTAATTTTAAACATCGAAATATTGAAAAATTCCCAAAATTAAAAAATCGAAAAACTGAAAAATCGAGAACTCGAAAAATTGTCCTCAAGTCCTCAAAATACCAAAATTGTCAAATCCTCAAAACACCGAAATCCTCAAATCCTCAAAATCCTCGAAACACCGGAATCCTCAAAACATCAAAATTCTCAAACCCTAAAAACATCAACATCCTCATCAAATCCGCAAAATCCCAAAGTAGTCAAATTTTGTAATCCTCAACATCCTCAAATCGTCAGAACCCCAATATCCTCGAATCCTCAAAACACCAAAATCCTCAAATACTCAAAATACCAAAATAGTTAAATCCACAGAATCATCAAATCCTCAAAACACCAAAATTCTCACATCCTCAAGACAACAAAATAGTCAAATCCTATAATCCACAAAATCCTCAAATGCTCAAAACAAAACAAAAATTGAAAAATTGAAAAATTCCAAAACTAAAATGTCGAAAAACCGAAAAATCGAAGTATCGAAAGATTGAAAAATTCGAGAAATCAATAAATGGAAAAAAAATGGAAAAATTTAAAAGTCGAAAAACTGAAAATTCGAGAAATCGGAAAATTGCAAAAGAGAAGAGAAATGGAGAAATCGAAAATTAAAGAAAGACAAAAATTGTAAATTGAAAACTTTAAAAATCGGAAAAATTGTAAAATCGTAAAACTTAAATATCGGGAAATCGAGAAATCGGAAAATAAAGGAATCGAGAAATCGATAATAATTTAAAAAATTGAAAAATAGAAAATTTCAAACATCCAAAAATTGAAAATCGAGAAATTAAAAATTAAATAACGAAAAACTGAAGGAAAAAAAAGTGAAGGAATAAAAACACTGAAGTGTTAAAACATCCAACATTTTAAAAATTGAAAACTTGCGAAATTCAGAAATTGAAAACTTTCCAAAACTGAATTGTTGAAAAAATGCTTAATAGAAAAGTTGGACAATCAATAAATCCAAAAATTGAAATAAAAACTAAAAAATAGGGAAATCGAAACATCAAAAAATCGTATAATCGAAAAATTGAAAAAACAAAAAATTGAGGTCAAAAAAAAATCGACAGATCGAGAAATCGCAAATTCCAAAATATGTATATAAAATGCAAAAATTTAATCGAAAAACTGAAAAATCGAAAAATTTAAAATTTTCAAAAGTAAAATGTCGAATACCGAAAAATCGACACATCGGAAATTTGCAAAATTGAAACATCGGAATATCGATAAATCGAGAAACTTTAATTATCGAAAAACAAAACAAAAATCGGAAAATTGAAAAATTACAAAACTAAAATGTCGAAAAACCGAAAATTCGAAATATCGAAAGATTGAAACATCGGAATATCGATGAATTGGGAAACTGAAAAATGGAAAAATTTTAAGTATCGACAAACTGAAAGGCCTAAAATCGAAAAGCCAAAAAATCGAAATCTAATTTTTAAGCATCGAAAAATTGAAGAATCGTAAAACTGAAGAATCGAAAAATTGAAAACTTCGAAAAATCAACAAATGGAAAAATAAAAAAAATGAAAAAATTGAAAAGTAGAAAAGTTGGAAAATCGAGAAATTGGAAAGTCTAGAAATCGACTAATGGAGAAATCGAAAATTAAAGAACGACAAAAATTGAAAATTGAACAATTGAAGAATCGAAAAATTGAAAAATTGTAAAACGGAAATACCGGAAAATTGAAAGGAATTGAGAAGTCGATAATTTAAAAAATAGAGTAACTGAAGAATCGAAAAATTGAAATATCCCAAAACTGAAGTAATCGAAAAATTAAAAATTGAAAAGTCGAAAAATTGAAGGATCAAAAAAAACTGAAAAACTCCGGAAACTGAAATACCGAAAAATTGATAAGACAAAAAAATTGGAAAGTCAAAAAAAAAAACGAGAAGTTGCAAAATCCAAAATATAAAAAAACGAAAAATGGAATCGTAAAACTGTTGAACCGAGAAATCGAAAAATTGAAGAATCGGAATACTGAAAAATTCCAAACTGACGGAAATCGAAATTTCGAAAAGCTGGAAATCCAGAAGTTGAAAAATAAAAAATTCGAAAAATTTAAGACGCGAAAAGTTAAAAAGTAGAGAAATCGGAAAGTTGAAAAATTTATTATTCCAGAAAATGGAGAAATCGAAAATTATAGAACGAAAAAAATTGGAAATTGAAAAATTGAAGAATCGAAAAGTTGAAAAATCGTAAAAGTGAAGTACCAAAAAATTGAGAAATCGATAATTTAAAAAATAGAGTAATTAAAGAATCCAAAAATTGAAACATCCGAAAACTAAAGTAATCGAAAAATTAACAATTGAAAAATCGAAAAATTGAAGGACAAAAAAACAAAAAGAGAGAAAAAAATTGTAAAGTCAAAAAACGTAAAATAAGAAATCGAAAAAAGATCGAAAAATTGAGAGATCGAAATAAAAAATTCGAAATCTGACTAGAAATCGAAACATCGAAAAGTCGAGAAATTAAGAAACGAAAAAATAAAGTAATCGCAAAGATCATCTCGGATTTTTTCGAATTCTCTCAAATCCTCTTTTTTCCCGATTTTATCGGACTCTCTCGAGGTCTCTCGCAGTTTACGGTTTCTTTCGGATTTTTCAAGATTCGCCCGAATTCTGTGGGATATTTTTCAGATTATCTCGCATTCTCTCCAATTTTTCGTATTGTCTCATATTTTTCCGGAGTCTTTCGGATTTTTTTGGGTTCTTTCTAATCCTCTCGGACTCGGATTCTTTCAATTTATTCCGGAATTTCTCGACTGCTCTCCGATTCTTTCGTACTCGTTCAGATTTTGTCAGATTCTTTCGGAGTATATCCGAGTCTCCCGGAGTTTTTCGGATTCTTTTGGATTATCTCGGATATATTTTTTTTATCTTTCAGATTATTCCGGATCCTCCCGGATCCCCTCGGATTTTTTTCGAATTCTCTCATATTGTCTCATATTTTTCCGAAGTCTTTCGGATTTTGTTTGGATTCTCCCTCATTCTCTCTGATTCTTTGTAATTCTGTTGAATTCTTTCGAATTCGGATTTTTTCGTAATTTTTCAGATTATTCCAGATTCACTCGGATCATCTCCGATTTTTTTCGAATTCTCTCGTATCCTTTTGCATTATTTCTTATTCTGTTGGATTGTCCCGAATTCTTTCAAATTTTTCGTAATCTGAAAAATTAAATTTGAAAAAACGAAAAATCGTAAAACTGAAACAAAATTAAGAAATCGAAAAATGAAAAAATTGAGAAATCGAAAAAATGAAAGATCTTAATAGTGGAATATCGAAAATCGTCAAACGTAAACGGCAGACCAGTTTTTCGTACTGTGGGGATCATGAAGCGTCATAGCTAAGTTAAGGGCTCGGGAAGTAAAAAATCTTTGAATATTTTCAGTTGAAGCCTATTCTACGCCCCATTGTGCATTCTCTTGGTTTCAACTTGAATTGTTTGCACTGATTGTTTTCACCGGTCACTTGAAGGAAATTCGAAATCTGTGTTTATTCTTTCTTAACGGGATCAATCCGACAAGGTTAAATCGGCAGATTGAGTAAATGTGTTAATTATCGACAAGGTGTCAATTATCCTAAACCGACAAGTGTCAAATGTCAATTATAACTAATAGTTACCTCACGGATCGACTCTTGCAAACACTGAAAAGCAAAGCCTATAATTTTCATTGTGACGATTCGAAAGTACTCGCAGCTACAACAAAGCCTTCAAAATAGAAATAATCTCGTTTAATTTAGGTGTGTAAATACCTGAACACGTTGATTTAATTAATCTACTAATGTTCAATATGGCAAATGAATAATTCAGCATTATGAGATTCGCTAATCCCCCAAATTATACCCACAATGGCGTTATTTTTCGATTCTGTCCAGAATCTGCCCGAGACGCATTTATCACGCAACCGTGACACCACAACAATTACTTTGTATCTTCAATCTATTTATAAACGTAATTTCGTAATAAACCGTACTGACGAAAGTCATTAAAACTTTTATTGAAAAAAGTTTCAAGAATCGCATATTGATAGCGTCTGAAATTGTTATTCCTACATTCATATTTGCTTCGAGTTCTTCGGGTTTGGTACGAGAGGACGTTGGCCTCTAACTGCGCATAAAAATTCTAACACGAATCTCATGTCACGCTCGTACCATTGTTGATAGGGATTGATAGGCATCTGTTGGCTGTTTAAGATCGTACATCTACTATAACTGTAAAAAGTGATGGGAATTAACTTTAATTTGGAGGTGGCGTCGGGCGCATTGATTGCGCGAGCGAAGCGAGCGACGCACTAAAACTTTCTCAAACCTGTGCTCTCCCCGTGCCTGAACCCGAAACACTTGAAATAATCGCTAAATCAATCGGGATTCCAGATCGGCTTGACGAGTTTGCAACACATCGGCCGAGGGGGCGTCAAGGTGGACCTTAGCCCCAACGTCTGCTACGTCCACACCGTCAACTGGAAGTCCCTCGGAGCCTCCAGGCTTGACTTCGACAACACCACAACCTCCGCCTGCAAGGACGAAGTTTGTCCCAACGAGTGTGGCGGTAAGTAAACACAGCTTAAGCAATTAATCCAATTAAACACCCTTTTGAAAGGCGCTGATTTAGTGACGCACGTTACAAATTAGCTCGTGAATTGGTGTTGATTGGCTTTTTCTTGCAGGATACTGCTGGAATAACGTGGAGTGCCAAAGTCAAAGTCGCAAGGAATACTGCGACAAGTACATGGATGGGGAGGAATGCGTGTCGAAGTGCCCGCCGCCTAAGTAGGTACCTGTTGACGGTGGTTTGAATACTAACTCGTCGGTTTCAGGGTGACCAACAAGGAAACTAGGACGTGTATGACGGAGGAGGAGTGCTCCACTATGTTGAATGGTGGTTGGTGGAACTTCAACGGGACTTGCATCAACGAGTGTCCCGTTTATTATAAGAGGGATAGGGACGTGAAAGGGGGGTGTCGCTACGTGGGACCGGCGTCCCCTAAAATGTGCAGTGGAACAGTCGTGAGCACGTCGGACATGCTGGAGCAGATGGAAGGGTGTACCTTCATCAACGGCTCCCTAGAAATACGCATATTGGATAGTACCCCAGAACGGAACCTCGAGCGGTACCTAGGGAACATCGTCTCCATCTCCGGGTACCTAAAAATCGGGCGACTGCAAAGTATCACCTCGTTGGGGTTTCTCAAGAACCTGACGACAATCAAAGGAGAGCAGTTGGATAACAATCGGTACTCGCTATTCGTCTACGAAAACGAGAATCTGAGGAAGTTGTGGGACTTTTCGGACGACTTTAAGTTGACTATTTTAAACGGGACGATGGCTTTTCACGACAACCCTCAGTTGTGTTTGAGAGAAATCGAGAAACTCGAGCAGACTGACGGTATCCGGAATAAAACTGACATGCAGATGTCCAAGTATTCGAACGGGTACAAGTCTAGTTGTCACCAGAAAAACTTGACGGTTAAGATTACCGAAACTAACCCGACGAATGTGACCATGGTGTGGGAGAGAGAATCCCTAGCTGATGACGAAGTGCTGCTGGGTTATACCGTCTACTATAGTGAAGAGGAGAATGCTCAGTTTTGGAGTGATAACGAAGACGGTTGCAATAAGTATAGCTGGAATGGAGTTTTCGTCCGGGAGAATACAGCTCAACTCAAAGACTTGATTCCTTACACTAGATACGCCTACTACATCAAGATTTACACTGCTCTGAAGCAAGGCCAGCAAACTCCCCAGTATGCATTCATGACCGCTTCCAGCGAACCATCTGAACCTCTCGGGTTAACAGCGGAAGCTGTGAGCGATAGTACCATCGTTCTAAAGTGGGAGCCCCCTCGCTACACCAACGGTGACTTATCCCACTACACCATCTACATGTACATAGAAGAAGATTACTCGCCTACCATCCGACAAAGAAACTACTGCGAAAACCCGCACGTCTTCGACATCGAGGAACCTTCAACACCTACCAATACTTCTCTTAACACAACTAAAGCCGATAATTGCACCTGTCCCGTCAAAACTTATACCAGCCTCTTCACCGAAGAGCTATCTTGCAACGAAGGCAGCAGCGACTTGGAAAACTGCATCAAGACCGTTTACCACCAACAAATTCCCTCCCCTTTCATGACCCGCATCTTCCAGAAAAGAGAAATAGTCTCCTCCCGCACCGACATCCAAGAATACACAGTCCCAGCCAACGAAACCACCTACGAATTCAACAACTTGAAGCACTTCACCCTCTACGTGTTCCAGTTGAAGGGCTGCAACACCTGGAGGAACCGCGAAACTGAAAAGATCGAGTGCGGCTATACCCAAATGGTCTCCCAACGTACCAAAAAGAAAGAAGACGCAGACATCGTGCGCGAGTTGAGCGTCTACGTAGACTCCGACGGTGCCCACGTCAACTGGGACAAACCCTCCGAGTCCAACTCCGTCCTCGTCGCCTACCAAATCGAGTACAAGAGAACCGACTCCGAGCATTCCAAACCTCGATTCGAGTGCATCAACGACAAGGACCAAAAGCCCAAGCACACCTACAAGATCCGTCTTCCTCCAGGGAAGTACTCCGTGCGCGTGCAAGCCGTGTCGTTCGCCGGGCCCGGGCTCTTCAGCGAGTGGCGCCACTTCGAGATCAGCGCCCCCGCTGGCTCCCCCGTCGCCGTGATCGTCCCCGTGGTCCTAGCCATCGTGTTCGTCCTCTCCTTCGGAGGGGTGTACTGGTGGTACCGTCGCAAGCGCGCCCGCGAACTCATCCACCTCTTCGCGAGCGTCAACCCCGACTACGCCGGTAGCCGGTACACGGAAGACGAGTGGGAGCTGGAGCGCAGCGACGTGGAGATTTTACGGGAGTTGGGGCAAGGTTCGTTCGGGATGGTGTACGAGGGGACGATTCGGTCGCGGCAGTACCCTTGTGCCATCAAGACGGTGAACGAGAGCGCGTCCACCGCGAGTCGGTTAGAGTTCCTCAACGAAGGGGCGGTGATGAAGGGCTTCAGCGACGGGTACCACGTGGTGAAACTCTTGGGGATAGTGTCCCGGGGGCAGCCGCCGCTGGTCGTCATGGAACTAATGGAGCGGGGCGACCTCAAATCGTACCTGCGGCGGTGCCGCGAGCCGTCCCAGAACCTCACCACGAGCGAGATGTACCGCATGGCGGCGGAGATCGCCGACGGGATGGCCTACCTTTCAGCGAAGAAGTTCATCCATCGGGATTTAGCGGCGCGTAATTGCATGGTGGCGGCGGACCGCACGGTGAAGATCGGCGACTTCGGGATGGCGAGGGACGTTTATGAGACTGACTACTATAGGAAGGAGACGGTGGGGTTGCTGCCGGTGCGCTGGATGGCGCCTGAGAGTCTCGCCGACGGCGTCTTCAGCACCGACTCCGATATCTGGAGCTACGGGGTGGTCCTGTGGGAGATGGCCACGCTAGCCGAGCAACCCTATCAGGGTATGTCCAACGAGGAGGTGTTCCACTTCGTCAAGACGCGTGGTAAGCTGGAACGGCCCACCGAGTGCTCGGACATCCTCTTCGAGGTGATGGACGCTTGTTGGAGCTGGCGGCCGAACGACAGACCTAGGTTCTCGGGCGTTGTGGACCGGCTGGTGGACCAGGTGGGGCCGGCCTTTCGACTGGTGGCGTTCTGCTTCAGTCGGCTGGGGCTCGAGCTGGCGCGGACCGCCGGGGCGAGGCCGTACAACCCGCCGGCGCTGATACTGAGCGAGGAAAACTACTTCGGACACTACGACCCCTCGGACGAGGAAGTGAACTTGTACGTGCGCGATCGGGACCGTCCAGTGAGGTATCTCCCATTTCAAAACCAAAGAAATCCGTCGCCGGAGCGGGTCAGCCCGGGCTCGCCCTCCTCCTCGTACTCGTTAAATTCATCCTAAGTGTTAATTATTAAACTAAATGTGATATGTAATGTTAGTCACTAGGAGTAAGTGTGCCCTGCGTGAGTGACTGGGATGGATGCTCTTTCTGATGAATTCCAAGGGATCAATGTTACCTATTTTTGTTTTTTTTTTAACTTGACGAAGTGATTACTTTACATGGCTAGTATTTTCTATGTTTTCTACTTTATTTATGTCGTTTTCAAGTGGGGAACCAAATTTTTTCTTTGTAGTATGATAGGCAATACGAAGTGTACAAAATGTGATGTTGTTTCGGGGATTATCAACGATTTTTCTGTAGGAAACAATGTCGCTTTATGATGTTGTCAACTCAGTGTACCTTTGATTGTAATGGCGATTCCTAGACCGATGAAAGGTTATATTTCTATATATCACCTGAAATATATTTTGTAAACGTTGTACAAATAAATATTTTGCAAAAAAATACAGGGCTTCTATAACATTTTTTTCCTTTTTACTTCCCGAACGTAAGCAAAGGAAGTATTGTAGTCGAGTCCATCGGCCGACTCTCTACTTTTACGTTTTCTCGATCTTTCATGACCCCTAGAAGACGAAGAAATAGGTCTCCCATTTCCGTCTGTCTGTCCGTCCGTCTGTCCGTCTGTCCGTCTGCCGTCCCGGATTTTTATTAGACAGATAATCTCCGAAAGTACTCGACCGATTGTTGTGAAATTTTGTACTTATATTAAGAATATCATGTAGATGGTAAAACGCTAACCAAAATTTGTCTAATCATCCCCACCACTAATGCGATGACGTCACTTCAAAATTGTACATAGTAAATGGGTTTTCAATTGTATAAAATAACATAGTCCTACACATGTAGTTTACAACTCTGAATCGACTTTTCACCCGAAACGTCCAGATTTTTGGAAAAAAAATCAAAATTATAAAACAACATTTTGAAATTTAATTTTTAATCTGCTAACCAGAATGCTTTGAAATGTTGCAGATGTTTTAAGGCTATAAAGAGCATCATAAATCTTTAGTCAAAAAATATTTGCTTATCCCCTCCAAAAACTTGATGACGTCAGCTCAAAAGTTTGTGGAATAAATCATATCTAAAATGTACAAAATATGATGAGTCTGTACTTGTGATATTCATATTTTTTGGATTGGCATATACAGGGTGACTCAAAAAAATTAATGAATGCGTAAATATATTTTATTGATTTAATCAGGAACTACAAAACCGAATGCTCTGAAATCTTGCAGATGTTTTAAGGTCATAAAGAGCATAATAAATGTTTAGTCAAAATATATTTGCTTAGCCTCTCCAAAAACTTGATGAATCAGCTCGAAAGTTTGCCGAATAAATCATATCTAAAATGCACAAAATATGATCAGTCTGTACTTGTGATCTATCACTCCATTCATATTTTTTGGATTTGCATATACAGGATGATTCAAGAAAATAAATGAAAGCGTAAATTTATTTTACTGATTTACTCAGGAACTACAAAACCGAATGCTTCGAAATCTTGAAGATATTTTAAAATTATCATAAGCATGGTAAATTTTTGATCAAAATGTATTTGGTCGTCCCCCCTAAAAAATTTATGACGTCACCACAAAATTTTGCTGAATAAATCCTATCTAAAATGTACAAAATATGGTGAGTCTCTTCTTGTGATTTATCATTCCATTCAAATTTTTTCGATTTGCATATACAGGGCGACTCAAAAAAATTAATGAATGCGTAAATTTATTTTATTGATTTAATCAGGAACTACAAAACCGAATGCTTTGAAATCTTGCAGATGTTTTAAGGTTATAAAGAGCATAATAAATTTTTAGTCAAAATATATTTGGTTATCTTCTACAAAAAACTGATGACGACAGCTCAAAAGTTTGCCGAATAAATCGTATCTAAAATGTACAAAATATGATGAGTCTGTACTTGTGATTTATCATTCCATTCATATTTTTGGATTTACATATGCAGGGTGACTCAAAAAAATTAATGAAGGCGTGAATTTATTTTATCGGTTTAATCAGGAATTACAAAACCGAATGCTTTGAAATCTTGGGAATATTTTAAAGTTATTATAAGCATGGTAAACTTTTGTTCAAAATGTATTTGTTCATCCCTCCTAAAAAAATTGATGACGTCACCCTTAAATTTTGCTGAATAAATCCTATCTAAAATGCAAAAAATATGATGAGTTTGTACTTGTGATTTATCATTCCATTCATATTTTTTAGATTTTCTTAAGAGGTGGTTCAAAAAAATTAATGAAGTCAATTTATTTTATTGATTAAATTAAAGGCAACACTTATTATTAGTGTTACACCCGGACCAACCCAATTTGGTAGACACAAAATTTGTTAAAGGAAAAACTCGTTTGAAACATAAGGGTAGCACGCTTATTTACATCGACTTTAACATTACAGACCTGCATTTGTTTTATGCGCTCACTTGGTTCCGCGAATGTGAAATAGACATGTTTGTAATCAACCAATTGTGAATTTCACCGTCAAGAATTAAAATAAAACCCAATGTTTTATATAATAAGCGGAAGTCGAAGCAATAAAACCGATGGTCGTTTTGTTTACAGTTTCTCTGTTTGACTCTCACGTATGCTGTTACGCCTGTCATCTTAAATCAAGAATGTTTATACATACACGATTTTCAGTTGCCTCTGATACGTATACGTGAGTAAATTGTTTCGTTATTTTATTGATTATTACAAATCAATATTCAAAACGACCCAATTCATTTTCCCGAAAATTTGAGAATATAATAATTTTATTCTTAGTATTACACTACATCTATCCCAACTGATATACGTGTCCTTGCAAAAATGTTGATGACGTCATCGCATTTTTTTTTTAAATTCTAACTACAAAAATGTAATGAGAAAAAAAACACAATAGGCATGCAGTCGTCAAGTTTCCGACAGCGAGGGAAGTACTGTCTAAACTCTTTAGACCAATTTTTTCTAAGATAAAATGATATTAATGCAAATACAGGGTGTTATTGAAAGGTACGTACAAAAAAAAATGGACAGTTCTTCGCGAAGTCTAAGAAGTCTGAAAAACTTATTTTGTGTTATCAAAATTATAAGGGGAAAATTAACCCTTATCCAACCTTTTTAGACGCTACTGAAGGATAAGTAGGTAAAATTAATTTATTTCAGTAAACCCTAGCAACTGTAACAATAAAACTTTTGTCAAGACTAAATGTTGCTATAGAAACGAAAGATGATCTTTTTATCAGAGGCGTACAACGAATTTGGACATAAATTTTAATAATTTTTATCTCTAAACGGAGAACACTTTTACCTGAACTTTTTTTAACTTTTAGCATCCATACTTCAAGACCAATTCCCAATTTTATTTTGTACGTACCTTTCAATAACACGCTGTATATAAAAAAAAAACGGAAGTTTGACAGATATGTCAATATCTGCTGACAACCGAAAATTATAGAAAACATGATACCAATTTCAACTAAAAATCCAGGATTGCCAACAGACCTAGTCCTTTCTGATCACGCGGTATTATACATCAAACTGCAGCCTTATTTATGTTCTAAGTTTCTAGAAACAGTTCAATCAACCAAAAAAATGTGACAGAAATATCATAATCTTGTTCCCTCCTTTTTTGGTGTTAAATTTCTGATTCGAGCCGATTTCCACAACTACAGACATCTAGCGGAAGACACCCAGAACTCTTCATAGACTTCCACACACTTACCCAACGTATTGATTTTTATGACTCCTGGTGCTGGCCACACGAGGGCGCCCCTCCTCATCACCGCAGCAACAAAATTCCGGGCCAAAATTTGATTCCTACTTATTCCCTCGACACAACAAAACTATCAGATCTCCCGTCCAATAAATTTTAAATTCGAGCCTAACGATAACCACCATTTATCCGTGTCAAAAAAACAAAAACCCTTTTCATAGTCGCGCCTACCAAACAATTAAAACTCAATTCCCAAACGGGTCTAAAATTAACAACCTAACAGTCTTAAATGCAATTGACATAGTCTGACCTCGTTCAGTCCGTTGATAATTTCGACCCCCGTAGGTGTTCCGTTTAACATTGTATCACCGGTCCTGCAATAAGTTTTTAATTTGTGGACGAGTTAAACCTCAGTATGTGCGCTGTCACACTTTCATACCCACGATGTCCCCGTTGGTGTACCTTTCCCTGATCGCGGCCCTACCGGTGGACGGGAAAGTGTGTAAATCTCTGGATGTGAGAAACACCCCTGAGCACATCTCGGAGTTCAAACACTGCCGGGTGATAGAAGGCCACCTCCAGGTGGTCTTGATCGAAAGAAGTGACGTGACGGATTTTCTAAATAACAGCTTCACGGAACTTTATGAAATCACGGAGTATTTGATCATCTACAGGGTGATGGGGTTGCCGTCTCTGGATGTGATTTTCCCGAAGCTAACGTCGATTAAAGGGGAGAAGTTATTCATGGGGTTCGCGTTGGTCTTGTATGACCTGCGGAATTTGCGAGAGGTAAGTCCGATTTAAAAAAATAGAAGCAAAATGTACCCATTCCAGATAAAATTGACGAGTTTACGGACCATCGGGAACGGGGGTGTGAAAATTAACACTTGTCCCGATTTGTGCTACGTGGATACCGTGAACTGGGAGGCACTCGGGGTTTCCTATCTGGCTTACGACAGACAATCAGAGTGCGAAGGGGAGGGATGTCCTCTTCATTGCGGAGGTAAATTCTTTGTTTCTTAAAAAGTGAACACAACCCGTTTTTAGGGTACTGCTGGAGCGACTACGAGTGTCAAAATTTGGCCAAAAGCAACTGCCACTCTTTGTGTATGGGTTGCACCAAGAGCGACTCCCCCAGACACTGTCTTTCTTGCAAGTACTTCAACGATAGTGGTACTTGCGTCCAAAAGTGTCCATCGACTAAGTAACCCTCGCTTTCGGTACTTCTCCCTCTCATGTGTTAGTTTCAGACTCGTCGACGAAGAATTCAGTCGGTGCCTCACGGTGGTTCAATGTGCCGACCAACACAGATCAGTGTTCAATGGTACTTGCATCGAAACGTGTCCCGATTTTTACGAAGCCGACAAATACGGTCTCTGCAAACGTACTAACATTAAACTTTGTCAAGGAATACAGATCCACGGATATATGGAGCTCGATCATTTGAGGGGTTGCACCCATATTAATGGTTCGTTGGACTTGGTACTGGACGATTATATCGATAGTCGCTTTCTGGAGAGAGGTTTGGGCAGGGTGGTGCATATTACCGGGTACTTGAAAATCAGCCACTCGGATTCCATAATGTCGCTGGATTTTTTCAAAAGCTTGACGATCATCATGGGGCGACCAACAGAGTTGTGGAGTCGGTACTATTCGTTGTTCATCATCGAAAACCCGAACCTTCAGAAGTTGTTTCACGAGAATGCGACTCCTAAGATACTGGGAGGGGAAGCTCTTTTCCAGAATAACCCACATTTGTGTCAATCTGAAATCGACAAAATAAACATTACTAAGATTAGTGTCAACAATGGAGGGAAGTGCATGCCTGAGTTCAACTGTTTTAAAATTGTCGTGAAAAATAATTCAACCAATGTAACAATCTCATGGTGGCTCCCCTACAACGTGACAGTCGTCGGTGGTTATACCATCTACTACACAAAAATCCACCCTGATAAGTTTAATCCAGTTCAGATTAAAGAGGTGTTCTTTGATAAAGACGGCCTTGCGTATGAACCTGGTTGGAATAGCGTCTTCACACCTAACACCTCTGTTCTTATTAGCAGACTCACCCCTTACACCCACTACGCGTACTACATCCAGACCATGTTCAGTCCCGAGGGCGACAACCTCCAAAGCCCCATCAGCTACTTCCAGACTGCCACTGATGACCCATCCGAACCCGACGACGTAGAAACAGAATCCCAGAATGAGACCACCGTGACGCTGCAATGGAAACCCCCGAGACAACTCAACGGGGATTTATCCCACTACATTCTAACCCTCTATCGCCAAGAAGATTACCCTCTGGTGGGTCAAAGAAACTTCTGCACCCAACCCTACGAAGACAGCAGCTGTTGTCGCAACCAAGACGAACCCAATGTCTTCCTCCAACAAGGCGACGTTTGTCTGGGTCTCGGTGACCATTATTGTTACGCCAAAACCGCCTACCAGACGGACGTACCTCTACGAATCTCCAAGAGGTCGGTCAACCCGGTCAATCAAACCGGTCAGTTTTTTCGAGAGTACATCATAAAGGGTACAGAGACGAGCTTCATCGTCAACAAGTTGAAGCCCTTTACTATGTATACGTTCTTCATGCAAGCTTGTAACCGGAAGGATAAGGGCGACGGTGACCACTGTGGTGGTTTCACAATGACCTTCCAAAGAACCCAGATACGTAGTGGTGACGATTTGGTCACTGATGTGTCCGTTCGGGTTGAAAATACAACAGTGATTGTCAACTGGACTAAACCCAAAGACCCGAGTTTGCCGATTCTGGCGTACCGGGTGGAGTACACCAAAGTGGGGTTGCAGTCGTTGATGGTGGAATGTCGTACTGAAGAGGAGTTTATTAGGGAGCGCGGGGTGGTACTGGAGGGGTTGAACGAGGGGAGCTACATGGTGAGGGTCGGGGTGGTTTCTTTGGCCGGGTACGGGGAAGTGAGGGATTGGAAGCACTTCGAGGTGTGGAGAGAGAGGAACGAAACTCTGGAGAGTAACGAAACTCGAGAGACGACTGACGACAGTAGAGAAGATGGAGATGGTCAAAACAGTAGTACCAGTGGGTGGGTGTACGGTATTTTGGGGTTATTGGGGGTGATGGTTGTCTCCGGGTTAGGGTTTGCCATTTGGAGGAGGTACCAAGAGGCTCGGGACGCCAACGACCCCATTTTGATACCGGTGATGCGGCCAGACAACGACGAGTGGAAGCTGGATGACGAAACCGTGGAGATCATTGAGGAACTGGGAAAGAATTACGTGGGGATTTTGTATCGGAATAGTTGAAACTGTAATTGTAAACGAGTAAATAAAAATCTAGTCTTGTGGTTGGTGTGACAATTTTATACAATTTAGTGTGATAATACTGTTTATTTAGTTTCTAGTTTTATAACACGCTAGCTGTAGACATCTGGTGGCGACGCGCCGTTGGTGAACGGCGGTTCGAAGCTGGGGTTGTCGTAGTGGCAGCCGGCTGCAGAGCTCTTCTTAATCGGTGCGACGGGTTCAGGCAGTGTCCACGAGGGGGCGTCGTCGTAGAAGTTTTCGGCTGACAGTTGGCCCAACTTCACGATTCTTAAAATGAGTCCTGAAACGTCGTGAATTTTTAATTAGGTCTTTTTCTAATTGAAATTAATTATTAATGAAGAAAATGAAATTTTAAAATAATGAACATTAAAATTAATGCTTTATGAAATGCTAATTAGCTGTGCGAGGTACGACGAAACTAAACAAATTCACTATGCAAATTCTGAAATGGATCTCTTCAAAGAATAAGGAAAAGATTAAAAAATCCGGGGATTTTTCTTATTAGTAGAATTAATACGACTGGGGGCCTTCAGGGTGTAATATTAATATAGTATTACGTGACACACCCGAAGTACGTCGTAGTTTATGGATTTTTCGAGCTATTTTTCTCAACTATGAAATAATAATTAGCGCAAAAAATCCCATTTTACGTGTTTTAACAAGGTGTGAGGCGGGAAATTTAAACTTCCCGCTAGGCATACGCGAATTTAAATTTCGCCCTAAATTACCTACTAACATTTGATGGTCGTTTCGTGGTAAATAAACGAGGAAGTTGTATTATCAGAACCATTGAACGGAAAATTGTTGATTATTATATTTAATAACAGTGATTATCGAAATATTCCGTCCACAGTTTACACAAATGATATTTTTTGGTGTTTCCTGATTGTTGTTATTGTAGGTGAAGTGCAAAAAGTGGGCGTGGGAAATTCCGTTCCCGGAATTCCTAAACCAACAGATCTAATCTCCCTCATTTCCATGAACTACACAAAAAGCTGTGGGGTGATGCCTATTCAATTACGAGGGGTGGGTCAACACCACTTTACTCTACAGTGCACTCCACCACTATCCACACAATACCCCTTTACGCGCACTGCAGTAACCCCTAATCAATGGTTTGAAAGTGAACACAGGCGCACCACCCCATTCTTCTCTAGGCAAATACCACGTGACCCCATCATCGAAAAAATCATCCCTTAGTGGCCAGCAGCTCCTTGTCACCATCAATAAGCCTAATCCACAAACCCAAGTCATTACAGTTAATAGCACTCAAGTTGCAGCATAGGTGTAATGTTCAGTATAACAAGAACTAGACAAGGGTTGTTTGAATTTACTACTTACCGGTTATGACACCTGAAACCACGGCAAGCACTAGGGTCACCGCGAGAGCCAGAACTTGGTAGCCGGCTTGCTCTCCAGCGGTTCGTCCCAATCCGGGCTTCAAAAATGTGTATTCGGCTGTGGCAGTCACGTTCGGTTCGGCTCTGGCAGGGTATATTTCATACAGAGTCTTGTAGTACATCGATTCGGAAGCTATTCCGGCCATAAATGCCCCAATTAAACCCGCTAATACCCCAGGAATGCCGTGGAGGTTATGAACGCCGCAAGTATCTCTAATTCCAAAGTTCGTTCGCAGAAAGGGCTGCAAGAAGGGGTTGAATGGGGAGATTTGACGATTTAATTAATGGCGGGAGCGGCTCGTGACGTTAGAGACGTAATAAGTCTGTAATACACTTTTTTCGTCTGAATGTCACTTGAACTTTAACATAATTAAGTATCTCCTGATATTTACATACATATACCTAACTTAATGAAAAAAATTAGTCCGAGCCACCCTACCACCAAGGGCGGATGAGACCTCCTGGACCAGTGCGGGAAATTGTATTTTTTTAAAAGTACATAAAATTAGAGCCTGTCCCTACCGGTGATATCTTGTCTTTCAAATAATTCGAAGATCTCCAGGATCTTTCATTGTTTTGTTTTTGAAGTAGTTTAAAGGATCTCGGGGATGTCCTTTGTTTTAATTTTGAAGTATTTAGTTTGAAAGAATTTTGAAATTCTTTGTGTGGTTTTTGGACTAATTTCAAAGAATCACGGGACCCCTTGTACCTGGTTTTTGAAGTAGTTTGAAAGAAAATCTCCAGGACCTCTTTTCTTTGGTTTTTGAAGTATTTGAAGAGATTTAGTCCTTTTGTTCCGATTTTGAAGTAATCTGAAAGAATCTTGAGGACTTCCTTTTTGTTTTGGTTTTGAAGTGGTTTCAAAGAATCTAGGACACTTCTTGTGCCTGGTTTTTGAAGTACATAGTTTAAAGGATCTCGGGGACTCCCTTTATTTTGATTTTGAAGTAGTTGAAAGAATCTCGGGGACCACTTTCGCCTGGTTTTTGAATTAGTTTGTAATAATCTTGGGGACCTCATTTCTTTTGTTTTTGAAGTAGTTTGAAGGGATTTTGGGGAGTACTTTAGTTCTGATTTTGAAGTAATCTAAAAGAATCTTGGGGACCCCTTTTGTTTTGGATTTGAAGGGGTTTGAAAGAATCTCGGGCACTCCTTGTACCTGGTTTTTGAAGTACATAGTTTAAAGGATCTCGGGGACTCCCTTTGTTTTGATTCTGAAGTAGTTGAAAGAATCTCGGTGATCACTTGCGCCTGGTTTTTGAAGTAGTTTAAGAGAATCTTGGGGACCTCATTTCTTTTGTTTTTGAAGTAGTTTGAAGGGATTTTGGGGAGTCCTTTTGTTCTAATTTTGAAGTAATGTGAAAGAATCTTGGGGACCCCTTTCGTTTTGTATTTGAAGTGGTTTGAACGAATCTTGGGGACTCCTTGTGCATGGTTTTTGAAGTACATAGTTTAAAGGATCTCGGGGACTCCCTTTATTTTGATTTTGAAGTAGTTGAGAGAATCTCGGGGACCACTTTCGCCTGGTTTTTGAAGTAGTTTGAAATAATCTTGGGGACCTCATTTCTTATGTTTTTGAAGTAGTTTGAAGGGATTTTGGGCAGTCCCTTAGTTCTGATTTTGAAGTAATCTAAAAGAATCTTAGGGACCCCTTTTGTTTTGTATTTGAAGTGGTTTGAAAGAATCTGGGGGACCCCTTGTGCATGGTTTTTGAAGTAGTTTGAAAGAATCTCGGGGACTTCTTTTCTTTTGTTTTTGAAGTAGTTTGAAGGGATCTTGGGGAGTTCTTTTGTTCTGATTTTTAAGTAATCTGAAAGAATCTTGAGGACCCCCTTGTGTTTTGTTTTTGAGCGGTTTCAAAGAATCTTGGGGAAACTTTTCGTTTTGTTTTTGAATTATGTAGTTTGAAAGAATTTTAGAGATTCCTTGTTTCGTTTTTGAAGTAGTTTGAAAGAATCTTGAGGATCCCTTTTTGATTTTGTTTTTGAAGTGGTTTTAAAGAATCTTGGGGGAACTTTCTGTTTTGTTTTTGAAGTATGTAATTTGAAAGAATTTTAGAGATTCCTTGTTTAGTTTTTGAAGTAGTTAGAAATAATCTCGGGATTCCTTTTGTTTTGGGTTTGAAGGGGTTTGAAAGAATCTCGGGCACTCCTTGTACCTGGTTTTTGAAGTACATAGTTTAAAGGATCTCGGGGACTCCCTTTATTTTGATTCTGAAATAGTTGAAAGAATCTCGGGGACCACTTTAGCGTGGTTTTTGAAGTAGTTTGAAATAATCTTGGGGACCTCATTTCTTTTGTTTTTGAAGTAGTTTGAAGGGATTTTGGGGAGTCCTTTAGTTCTGATTTTGAAGTAATCTAAAAGAATCTTGGGGATCCCTTTTGTTTTGTATTTGAAGTGGTTTGAAAGAATCTCGGGGACCCCTTGTGCATGGTTTTTGAAGTAGTTTGAAAGAATCTTGGGGACTTCTTTTCTTTTGTTTTTGAAATAGTTTGAAGGGATCTTGGGGAGTTATTTTGTTCTGATTTTTAAGTAATCTGAAAGAATCTTGAGGACCCCCTTGTGTTTTGTTTTTGAAGTGGTTTCAAAGAATCTTGGGGAAACTTTTCGTTTTGTTTTTGAATTATGTAGTTTGAAAGAATTTTAGAGATTCCTTGTTTCGTTTTTGAAGTAGTTTGAAAGAATCTCGGGGACCCTTTTTGTTTTGTATTTGAAGCGGTTTGAAAGAATCTCGTGCACTCCTTGTGCATAGTTTTTGAAGTAGTTTGAAAGAATCTCGGGGACCTCTTTTCTTTTGTTTTTGATGTAGTTTGAAGGGATCTTGGGGAGTTCTTTTGTTCTGATTTTTAAGTAATCTGAAAGAATCTTGAGGACCCCTTTTGTTTTGTATTTGAAGCTGTTTGAAAGAATCTCGTGCACTCCTTGTGCATGGTTTTTGAAGTAGTTTGAAAGAATCTCGGGGACCTCTTTTCTTTTGTTTTTGAAGTAGTTTGAAGGGATCTTGGGGAGTTATTTTATTCTGATTTTTAAGTAATCCGGAAGAATCTTGAGGACCCCTTTTTGTTTTGTTTTTGAAGTGGTTTCAAAGAATCTTGGGGAAACTTTTCGTTTTGTTTTTGAATTATGTAGTTTGAAAGAATTTTAGAGATTCCTTGTTTCGTTTTTGAAGTAGTTTGAAAGAATCTCGGGATCCCTTTTGTTTTGGATTTGAAGGGGTTTGAAAGAATCTCGGACACTCCTTGTACCTGGTTTTAGAAGTACATAGTTTAAAGGATCTCGGGGACTCCTTTTGTTTTGATTTTGAAGTAGTTGAAAGAATCTCGGGGATTACTTGTGCCTGGTTTTTGAAGTAGTTTGAAAGAATCTTGGGACCCCTTTTGTTTTGTATTTGAAGTGGTTTGAAAGAATCTCGGGGATCCCTTGTGCATGGTTTTTAAAGTAGTTTGAAAGAATCTCGGAGTGTATAAAAATTGAATTCCCGATTTCCCGATGGTCCCATCCGCCCCCCATCTCTACTCACAGTTATCTTTTCGTATCCCGCGACGGAAATGGCCCCCGCCGCCACCCCTACGAGCACGGCCCCGAACGGCTCCAGCATCAAGTTGGCGCTGGTGCCCACCGCCACTCCTCCCGCCAGCGTGGAATTCTGGATGTGTACCATGTCGAATTTATGTTCGTGGCTCAAAATGATAGAAATAGCGAAAGTGGTGACACAGCAGGCCGCCAGCGACAAGTACGTGTTTATCACCGCCCTCTGTTGGCCGTCTCCTGGTGCTTCGATGGCGTTGAAGCTCGGCCAGTAGAGCCACAAGAAGATGGTCCCGATCATGGCGAAGAGGTCGGACGTGTATCTGGCTTCTTCCAGGGAGTTGTCTTCGGTTTTCGGGGACCTGAATCCGAGGACTGTGCTCACGGCCAGACCGAAGTAGGCGCCGAAGGCGTGCACGAAGATCGAGCCACCGGCGTCGGACACCTACGCATAAATATATATAGCCCGCGGGACGAGCGCTACGTGGATAAAATTTGTTGTTTTGTGGCATATAAGATTTAGCAAGATTTGAACGAACGCCCGTCGTTCCATAACGTTCCATTGTTCGCACAAACAAATTAAACATGCACCAAATACGGTGATTCGGCTGCAGACAGGGGATGAATAGCTGAGCTGTGAATTGGAAGGGATTTATGACTGGTGATGGTAATATATGGAGTCGGGATTATGACAGTGTTTATTTTGATTTTTATTAGGAACGCCAACGTGCAATCAATTTTTGGTTATTTCACGTGGGAGGGTTTAGACAATAGTGGTTTCGCGTGATGAGTTTTGTGTTTGTGGAGGGTTTAAGGGTGACTTTATTTTGGGCTTTTCTGGCGGAATAAATAGGGAGTCGGCACGTGCTGCAGTAAAATAATGCAGGGCCGGGGGCGGTTCTAACCTGGAACACGCGGTCTCCCAGGACGGCGTTGCCGGCGAACACCGCGATCTCCAGCACCCCCATGACCAGCAGCTGCATGTACGACGTGCGTCCCAGCACCGCCCCCATCGAGATAAGCACCGTGGCGGCGGCGATATCCGCTTTAAACAAACTGCAATCAACGCAAACAGCAAACTCCAAATCGAATTATAAAAAGGGGATAAAACCTACCTCTCAATTCCGAGCTTGATTTTATTATTCTCATTGAGCTGGTAAAACCCCTGACACAGCAGAGCCCACTGGATAATCAAAGCGCCCAATAAAAAATTAAAGCCCACCGCGCTGTAACCATAACGTCGCAGAAACGTCATAAGGAACCCGAAACCGACGAAAATCATCACGTGGACGTCCTGGAACACTGAAAAATTAACGACGGTGATTGGTTAGTTAACAAAGGGGGTACTTGTGGGGGTTAGCCCGGTCCTGCGGAAGCCCCCCAGGGCCGGGCTGACGGAGTTGCGAGGGTCGGACGCGTCAGCCCTGTCGCAGTACTCGCAGACGAGGAGGAAGGCGAGGGAAAGCGCGAGCTGCAGGAAAACCACGATGAGGGCTAATTTGAGGTGGCGGATCCGCTGGATGTGGGGGTTGTTTGAAGTGGTGGAGTGCGCGAGGACAGGCATTTTTACTACTGAGATTAGCGCGTGAGTGGCAAGAGTAAAACGGGATCTATTTCGATGCAAAGTCGCGCTTTTGTTATTTAAATGGGAGACAAGGATCTCGAAAAGGAGGAATATTTCGCTCATTTGGTAGTTGGAAGGTCGCTGGGGTCACTGGGTTGTGCGTTGTTACGCGGGCTGAGCGGTCAACTCAAACCCGTCCACTTACTGGGGTAGGCTTCCTTGTCGTAGTGCTCATCGTAGACGGCGAAAAGGGCAAACAGCACCACGAGGACCACTTGTAAAAACAGAATAAACACCACGTCCAACTTTTTCCCCGACATCATGCCCGACTGACTCAAAATAAAGACAAACAACTTTATTATCGGGCAAAGTACGAGCCAAAATTGCCACTGAATTATTCACCTCCGGCAGATAACTGCCTGATCAAAGCAAAACTGTGCACGAAGACACCGTAATTACCAAATAAAATATTTGTCGGAGCTTCGATTTACCCAACATCTTATAGTAAGTGGGTTAATTACGACGACATAAATCAGTGATACCAGATTGATGCATTATCTTTCAATTAGCACTTGTGTGCGATAATATTTACCTTGAGCGTAATGATATCGCGCGACCTTATCAAATTAGATAAGATTAGATTAATTTATTAGCGGAAAACCTCCATGTCGCAGAGTTAGTTCGACGAATCCACCTTTCTCAATATTGTAAACGAGCGAGTTACAACATCTTCACCAATTTAGCAAGCACTTAGTAGAAAACTGTGGCCACCTAAATATGAATCCAACAAGCATGAAAGCCTTCGTTTTGCTTAAATCCTGGAAAGGCTCGTTCCAGTAACGCAAAAACCGGCTCGTCTGAACGCGGCGTCACTTAATGGGAGTGACGTGGTTAATCGATAGCTTTTTCAGCTTGTCAGTTGTGTAAAAGCTTGTCTAAACAACAAATAACAGGCTCGTTGGGAAAAAATGATGCGGCCGCTGGAGTCCGCGTTGTAGTCGATGGTGGTCGAACAGCAAACAAAAGGACGTCGGTTTGCCCGCCGTCGAGGTTTACAGTGTAATTCGTCACGATAAGTCGATATTTATTTGTCCTGGAATTATGACGCTGGTAGTAATTCGACGGCGGCTATATTTGGAACGTTTGCCCAAGATTTTCACTAATTAGCACCTGTTAAACACACAATCGGTTCGGTGGAGTCTCGTGATTGTGTGCTACGACTGTAATTACACCCGACCACTCAAAATCCGACATTTGCAGATCACTCGCTTCTGATTGGTCGCGATTTTTATTTCGCGTTGTATTCCCCCACACAAATCATTCGCAGTTGTTTATTTCGTCTAATATCGCTTTACGACAACGAATCTGCTTCCGTTAACACCTCATAACGGATTTTTATTATTCATTTCAGACAAGTCAGACACCGCTCGTAAACCATCTCCATAAACTAAACAAACCCCGGAAAGCGCGTTTCTTCCGATTGACGTCTCCAAACAATTTTTTAATTCCATGCCGTCTGTAATTCGCCCCTAGATTGATTGTTTAATGCCTGTGCAAGGCAGTGACGACGAAGCCGAAAAATAAATCAAAATTAAAGTAATGCATTGGTGACTGGTAGGGAAAATGGGATTAATTCGGGCCGCAAAAATACGTCGAGAAGTCACAGACAAATTATACTAGAGATACACAGGAACCTGACTGACGTAATATAAATTACGTACACCCCTTCTGAAACCGAATTTATACACTCTGCCTTGTCTCGCTATCTTTATTGAAGATTTATTAGACGTAACAAGCTCAAATCGAATTCATTGTCTGACGTTCGGCGAGTCACATCCGTCCTATTTAAACAACTTTTCTTGGGATTTCGTGTCATTAATAATCTGCTAGTTTAAACATATGGGAGATTAGAAGGGGCTTGTTTGCGAAGAACTTTGCGGATGATAAATGCGCGAATTATAAATGGCACTGGAGAGAAAACGCTAAAGTTTTCCCGGCCTTTTGACGAGAAGCTAACTCCGCTGGTCGTGCTTTGTGTCACGAATTATTTTATACAATAATGCGGGATTTAGTCGCTTTAAACCAGATATTTTAAACCCCATTGACAATTTTTTGCATTAATTAAAGGATTTAATAACGTTTAATTGAAACAAAACACCGAGCAATCAAACCAGATTTGAGATAATTTTTTGGAAATGGTGTATTGTTGGTTGCATATGCAACTCAATCATCATCCGACGTTCTGGGGGTTTATTAATATCAACAAAATTAGGCAATAATTCAACAAAGTCGAATTGGTTTTGTCTAATTTATTGAGGCTGTTGTTTATTGTAATATTTGTCGTATTTAATGCAGACGAAAATTTTATTTTTTTTTGGTTGGTAGCGTAATGACAGATGTGCAAACTTCAACTTGGAGGATTAATTCGAAACGAGTGTTAAAATTTGTGTTTTCTGGTCGATTTTCGAAAGACAAGCCTTGTCCAGGTAAGATTTTATAGTTTTTTGGAAAATTCCGTGCTAATTCCACAAGTTCCCGCATAGTAGTTGATGTCTGGCCTGGCAGGTTAATTTTCGTTTGATGCCGGGTGGTTTATCTAGGTTTATCAAGGCTTGTAATTAATTTAAACTTTGAAACTATTACGTGTCTTTCGTTTAAAAGTACTGGGGGAGCAAAAAATACAGTCAGCGCAGGCGTGGAATTGAAGGTACAATTTTTAATTTTAATGACTTCCTTCAGGTATAAATGTTCCCCGTGATTGTCTCCTCCCAGTAAGTATTTACATTGCAAATCATCTATTAAGGACTTTGTTTATGTACGGTATGACAAATTGTTCAATTTTTTTAAATTATGCTATAGCGTGTCCTTATATCCATTTGGAACATATAACACTGGTGGCATTTTAAATGTATTCAAATTATCGCTTCCTTTTCCAGCGACATTTGTTTTCCATCATAAAATAAAATGTAACGTCCATTTTACATTTTGATTACGTTCTCTGTTTCGACGGAGCGGCAAATATATTGAAACAATTTGTTGTATAATGTGTTGCATAACTCGTGCGATTTTTCTGGGTACCTTTTTAGTTAGATTAGTGGTTTTTCCGTTAAAATCGTAACTGAAAGAGATTGTCCGACCGATTTCTCAGCCCCTACGAACGTTATAAATTCATGCCGAAATGCTTAATAAGCAGCGGCTTTGATAGGGAGGCTTATCTCAGTGCTACCGAAATGAAACACCATCCATTTTTCTCATCCATTAACTCCAACATTATAAAAAATTCTGTGCTGCGTAATGATATTTCCAATTCCATTACCCTTGTTAGTGTAAGTGGTTATTACGTTACTCTCATCGAAGCGAATTTAGCAACCTTTTTATCTCGAATCGAATAAGCGAAAGCTTTCGAAAAAAGCGCTTGCGTTTTTCGTCGGACGCAACATCCGGTCGGTCGGGCGTTAATATGTGCCTCACGGAACACCCGGTATAAGTCGTTTTTTAACGTCGCTGGACGGAAAAAGTTGGAGCCGCCCCTTGCGAACTTCCATTCCGACCGTCTGAACTAAAATCAATGTTCATTCTTCCCCGCTTTTACTTCTTATCCAAGAATCGAGTACGTGATAGATCGCGCAAGAGAAAATTCCCGTGGAAATTCGGCAAACACGTCCTGTTTGTTTTTACCGCTGCTCGCCCTTTTTTAATTAATCAAAATTATTTCCGGAGCGGCCAACTTTCCGGGCGATTTTTTGTATTTGTCCGAGGATTAGAGGCGGATTTGCAGGGGACGCGCCACTCGATTCTAACGAGACATCGGCCGAAAGGTCGGACTAATTATAAGACTATAGGCGGAGGGATAATGAGGCAAACGAGCTCGTTTCCACTTTTATTTTTAATGAAAATCACATGAAAGGTATTTACAGAAATCAAAGGGGAAAAGACATCTTATTAGTATAGATCAGAATAAGCGAAATACACAGTCAACACATACGTACAAATTTTTAAAATACATGTTATGTGCAGAGAGAGGACGTCTTGTTTAACACAAATCGAATTAAGTACGAAAATGTTGCTCGCCCGGAGGCCCCTCGAACCGAAAAATATAGCCGTCGCGTGGAGAATCCGGAGCCACAGGTCTCTCGTTAATATTTAACCAGATTCGCCACCTGTTTCGTCAATTATCGCTCATTCCGCAACCTCTTCGGCCATACAGGGTCGGACGCGACGCTTTTTCCACCGCAATCCCCTGTATGGCGCACGTCGAGTCAGGTGCCTTGTTACAAATACAAAGTACAACGGATTAACATTACATTTTACGTTATAATTACACTTATCTTTAATATCTCAAAATAGTTGCTTATAAATTAATGGCATTAGTTACATCAGTGCGAATCGACATATTTAAAAATACACTTAAAGACTAGGTTTTCTCAATAATTTACAAAATATGTTCTAAGTCAGGTCATAGTCTAAACTAAATCTCAACTTTCTTGTGAGTATTACATCCAGAACTATTTTAAAATCGTGATATTAAACAGCCATTTTATTACACTTATATGTACAACAATGGAACATAGCTGTAATCTCTGAACTCCAGGGGATCCCCGGCAACAGATGGACGCCAAGTGCTGGGGGCCGGGGCCGACGCGCTTAACACTACACAAAAAAAAAATCCCAAAAAGTATTTTGTATTATAATAAAAGCTCAATAGCTCAACAGAACTCGAATAAGAAAAAGGTAACTGAATTTAAGTCAAATTAATTGTACATGGGGTTCTTGAGACTTATAAAACTGTATTTCTTTTGAGGGCACACACCACTATAACACTAATAAGCATATCGATTCGCTTATAAAACTCCAAAAACCTCCAGCAAAGTCAAATTTTTCGAAGAATTTTGTGGTTAAAGCTCTTCAAATTTTAGCACAAAAGGTAATTACAAAGTTTATGAAATTTGTTTAGATTCAGGAAAAAAAGCAGATGTAATTAAAAATTTGGCGCCAAACTCTGTAACTGTCAGTACGTTGAGGTTAATATTTATGTTTAATTAGGCCAGTTATTGGTTATATGCTGTTGAACAAATAACATGTTTGTTTGTTCCTGATCAAAATTTTATTTATCCGTTCATGTTAATAAATGTAATGAATTCATGCTTAATTTGCCTTGTTATTGGTTGTGTAGCGTTGGACAGATAAATTTGTTAGTTTCATATTATTAATATTAATGAGATTGTAAATTTTTGAAAACTTTTGAAAATTAATTGAAAATTTTTCATCGATTTTGTAAATTTCGGAGCTTAACTAATTTAGTTTGCCTCGGCCCCGACCCAGCAAGGTGCCACCACGAAAGTTGCCCTAAAAAAATACGTCGTTTTGAGGGAATTGAGCTACAGTAACGATATGCGACGTGACGGTGACCGGAAGGTTACAATGGTTGTGTAGAGTAGAGCAGTCTTAGAGCAATCGGCACATTCTCAGACTCACACCGCAACGCACTGCCTGTCCACAGCCACACTTGATCTCCCGCCTCGCTGCTTTACGTCACCAACATGGCCGCCACCAGCAAGATGGCCGGCGCCAGCAGCCCCTCGGCCCCGCTGGCGCTCACCCCGACGAAGCCCGGCGTGGGCACCTGTTCGAAACAAAATGAGCGTGACTTTTACAAAAAATTCGAGTACGCACCTGCGTCCTGGGCGCGATGGTCGGCTGCTCCGGCTGGGGGCACGGCAGCTCCTGTGGCGGTATCTCGAAGAGGTGGCGCTTCCTGGGGTCCCTCGGCCCGGACGACGTGACGTAGTTCAACGAGCTGTCCTGCTGCTGGTCGTAGATGTCGTTGTCGTACTCGACGGGCTCGTAGTAGTCCTCGTTGTCGGCGGGAAATGGGCCGGAGACGGTGCGCGGGGCGGCGCTGGGGGCGGCGGCGGTGCCCCGGACCGGGCTCTGACCTGCGGATTCCATGTAGCAAGTGATCTCGTCGAGGGTGTTTCGGATCAGCGGGTTCTTCGTCTCGTTGCGGAGGGTGTGCAGCCAGGCCAGACGACAGTCGCAGACGAATTTGTTATCTGGAAGTAAATAAATGGGCGGTCAGCGACGCCCGAGCTGGAGATTTCAACGAGATGGCCGATTGCGGGGCCATTAAACGAGATTTACGGGTGGGCCGAGGAAGCCGGAGATGCGACGAGGTAAGGACGTCGCGGGGCGAGCGACGCGTTGCCATAATCAATACAGGATATTGTTTAGATTTTTTTATCGATATCGACCTTGTCGAATTTGGTCTCGTCGCCGATGATTCTGGCATGGCGGCGTCGGAAAATTCATTTTTCGACTCGACGTTTATAAGTCCGCTTCCGAGAGACCGTCCTAATATTTCAAACCGTGTCGATTTTTCCCCTCATTTGCTCTCACAATAAAATAACAAATCGAGATCGGCTTCCCATTTCCGCAGACTTCCATTAGCTCTGAAGTGGACCGTTCGCGCTGAGGAGAGAGGAGCACGGGCGTCAGCCGGGAGACATAATTTTAATAGATTAATCTCGTTTTCATATAATTAACAGGAAGGGTGGTAAGTTAGCACGGCAACGACTTTGAGGAACAGTCTAGAAACCGGAGAACCGGTGATAATTCAGCTTCATTGTGTCAGGGTGTTTATTTATCTTTTCAGTGGGTCAAAGCCGAAGCCTGACCCATATACGGAGAGCTTCGAGCTTAACGGTTATTGCTGCTGGGCGATTCGCTGTCGTCGAACACTCCATTTGATTTAAAGATGGCATTTCGAGTAATCGATTCTTGTATTCAGAGATGTTAGATTTGATAGAACCGGTTGGAATCGATTGGGGAGAACGCGGAGGTTGTGCGTTTGAGACTTCTTTTCACTCTGGCTCGCTGCCTGCACGCTCGGATGCTAATTTTTATTTGAGTTTGATGTAAAATAGCGTACACTGACTATCATGGACGCTATAATTTAATTGTTTGGATAAAATTTAGACTAATGCGGTTGTAAAGTGTTCTCTTGGAAAGTAAATTTTGTTGTGTCAAAATGCAAATGGTTTCATTTCATATGCAAACGTATACGATACACAATAAAAAATACTGTTTTGAGAGAGTCTGGAAGGGGTTAGGGCCGTTCTGTTTGTTTTATGAAATGTAAGCAAAAGGGGCCGAAGAAACGAACGAATCTGAATACGGCGGAAAAATGGACGATTTAGACGAAATTACTCCGCTGTATTAGGAGAAGTGGCGGTTTTCGCTGCTCAGGACCGGAATTTAACAGCGCCGAAATTTAAAACCTTGTTTACAAGTTTGTCACAACCCAGCTGACATTTTTACGTTGCTTTGACGCAAACCATCAAGAGTGACCATCCAGATTTTGTATTGTTAAGTCGATTTTCGTTGCGCACTATCTGCAATTCCGGTCTAATGCAGCCTCCGGAGTAAATATGGGCCCGAGATGACGGAACGGCGTGAAATATGTGCAAATGGCGGCCACAAATCAGCAATAAACTTCTTATTAAAGCGGGGCGTCAACAGCAGGAAGTCGGGGCTTATTTATCGCATATAGACAGAGTCGGCATGAGCCATTACCTTCCATTAAATCAATAGGATTGGCAGGAGTATCTGGGAATATCAATGTGAAATGTCGCCATAGGTTCGAACCCGCTGACCCTAAGGGTGCTAATCCGCACTGATACTAATACCAATTAGGGCCCAGGGCGTACATTTGCTCCTAAACGAGTTTCCACGAGCACATTTGATCCTCGCGCGTCAATTTACCTCAAGCTTTAGACAAATGTAATTGCTGGAACACCTTCCTGCTAAACATTTGCATTTGGAAATTTGGCGAAAGGACGGGCATTAATCAGGGAAAGGGCAAAAATGGGGGAATTCGACGAGGATGTTTCCTCTCCTACGCGATATATTCTTTCAAATACACACTTAAAGTCGGGAACAAAGCAAGTGCCTTTGCTAGACGAGAGCTCTGACATTTCGACTTGTAATCGATTAAAGGTTTAAGAGATTCTAGAAAATCGGATGAGACAGACGAGTATTAAATATTTCAATTACGGGGAAGTTCTTAGACGATTGTGAAACTTTGAGCCGCCGGTATGGGAAAACTCGTGGGATAACAAACTTGTTTGATTTTTCTCTAGTGCGTTCTTCTGAAACCTGAAAAAATGTCTCCGAAATTGCTAAACAAACCGTTCCAAATCGACTAAATTAAAAACAAAACTGCATTTTATAAATTACGGCCTACTCAAACAACACATTTCAAACAGTGTTTTAAAATTGTCCCACTGTAAATACTCCAAACTGAATAAAAAACAGAAATGTACACAAGCCGCTTTTCTCTCGTTAACCCGTTTTCACGGTTTGATGAAATTATCGTGCGTAAAACGTTTGTTACAAATTGAAACTATTATTCAACGCAAACAAATAATAAAATTACTAGCTTTGAAATTCCGAACGCAGCGATAAAAGAGAACAATGTCAGCGTTTCCCATGATAAACTTATTTGGATAGAACGCTCGAAGTCGGGGGCGATATTTTACAAACAACTTTCATTTTTTTCCTGACGAGTCAAGTTAAAAACCGAAACCCTTCGTACTGAGAAAAACTGTGCCCCATTTGAGCGTTCATTACGCGCGATAACTAGTGTAGATGGTAGAATTACCGTAGTTAATTTACGGCGCAAGACAAAGCGCAATAATAACAATAAAGGGCAGGGCCCCCATTATTTGGAATTTATCTGTTATCATGGTTCCATTATGGAGCATCTTCCTGCCAGAATAAAGTGCAGATGTATGGGTGGTAAAGCCATTACGCGTCACCCATTTCGGAGGATCAGTTGATACTTTACAAGTGGAACGTGGAAGGTGTGGTTAGGGACAAATAATGTTATTTATTATCGGGACCTCGTTGTTTCTTGGAGCACTTTATTCAAGGGCACCTGGACCAAACCCAGCCTGAGTTAACATAGACGTTTGCACCTTGAAAGATTTATCACCATTTCCTTTCACCCTAAGGGATGTTCATCAAGTTAATTCAACAATTACTTATCATGAGGCCTTGTTTGCACATGAGAAGAGGATCTTTTAGCGGGGTAAGCGCCCCCAGCAAATGGGCTATCAGTGTAAAAAATTACGGCCGAAATTACACGTAGGAAGTAGCAGGAACGTTTGAACTTGGAGAATGTGCGCGCTAAATTTTATCCAGTTTATACAGAAATTAGGTGAGAAAACGAACGTTTTTTGCGGGCTTGGGAAAACCTTTTAAACTAAGCAAATACGCCCTCTCCTCGTCCTTCGGATTAATTAGGGCGTCCCTATCACCCATCGATTCTCGTAAAACCCATATTCCAAAAAGCTGATTATGTGCGTTCTCGTTCACCGAAACAACGCCCATGGCGCATCGATCCGGGACTCCTCTTAAACAATCTGAGCGATTATCAATGCTGGACCAAATCGAAAGCGCTTTTAATTAACATGGAAGCCAAACAGCGTTGTAATTCAGTCCCGTGCCAGCCTAGGTAACGAATGAATCGCCGGAGCCGTCAGAATGTGGCGCTAGTTGTAAAGAGAAGGTTCCACTTTATGTTCTTCAGGTCAGAAGGGCTCAACCTCCGGCTATAGATAAAATAACTTAGGGCGGCTTAAACCTTGAAAAACATAATAGGGATATCGTGTTACAAGCAACCCTCGCTGCCTCAGATTTGCATAACGAAAGCATATTCCTCTAATTATCCTTGTGCTCCAAAGCAAACATTTAACAAGCTGGGGAGATTTAAAAGAACGAAGAAGGCATCGGACGCCAGATGACAGTCGCAAGGATTAATTAAATAAAAAATCACGACCGTTTACAAAAACCCCCATTAGTAGTCTGCCAAACATTTGTTCATATTCCAACACGAAATTTTACGTTTCTGAAGTAAATTCTCTCCGGTAACATGATTTAAACATCGTTCGCGTACTGAACTTTCTAGTAGTAATTTTTTGTGTTTACGGAGTGACTTTGTTGCAAAGTAGAACTCCCGAGGAAACAAGCCAGCGGCTTGTAAATTTTAATAGTTAATAAATTCGCTATTATTATCGCAAACAAATCCTCAGTTCGAGTGGTATCATTTCCGGCCCATGAGAACGCGGATCAAATGTAAATATGTTTTGAAATAAATGTAATTTCCGGAGCCGGGTTAGGGCTTCTTTTAAAGAAAATTAAATTAGTTATAGATCTCAGCCGAGGACGTAGTTTGAAAACTTTGACAATTCAATCAATTTGGGGCCAAACAAAGCCGGATGCGAGTAGGAAAATAAGGAAGATATAATGAGGGCTCTAAGAGTATTAATATTTAAGAAGCTCCGAAACAGTCGATAAATAAGCTCGGATTAAGCCACGTAAATGAGAAAAAGGAAGAGGATAAGTAACGAGGACTCTAATGCTGAAACGCAAATACACATATGATGGAGAGACGCGAAGGCCGGAAAAAACGAGCAGCGGTTAATGGAAGCGCGGAGGCCCTTTGCGAGATTTAATTAAAGAAATTTTCGGCACAACTATTAACGTCCGAATTTCGCCTGCTTAATATTAATGCTAGGACGACCTTATTTATTTGATTTATTTCGGCTTTGATTTCCGCCGAGGACGGTCCTCGTACGAGAAACACGCCTAAATAAAAAAGCCAAAATGAATAATGTACTTACGATGTGGCGAGGAAAAGTACAAAGAGAGGCACCGCTGGGGCTAGGTTTTACATACATCTCTGGAATTAATGCCGCTGGAGGAGCTTACCCAACGAAAATATTGTTAAGGCGGTTGCTACGCCGAGTTTTTTTTACGAAGATTGATACGAAGGTTACTTAATACTTAGGTTATTGTAACAACAGCCTTAATAACGCTTTATTTGTTGGATACGGAAGTTATTAGAATGGAGCAAAAATTGTCTTCATTATTATTATTATTATTATTATTAGAATGTAAAGTGATTCCACATTTCTGAGCCAACTGATTTAATTTATTTTTCTCTTTGTTCTTTAATGGTTTAAATGTGGACATATCGATTTCAAATTCATTA